CCAACATGTCCACATTTCAAAATGATAATCGGAACACGGATTCTCCTAGGGCGCATTTGGATGCATGCAATGTGAAAACGGCTATTTTACATCCCACAACATAAGACGCTGCCGCTTCTGCCATCCTCGTAGTTGCTGCTGCCACCACCACCACCACCACCATCACCACCATCATCATCACCAGCGATGGCAATATCGACACAGTGCTAACTTGTATACATTGTGACATTGTGTCAGAACTCGCCACGCACGCCTCCCCCACCCCCCCCCCCTCTATATACCGTTTCATAACATCCAGATGTCACATACGTCGCATTGATCACATGCGCATACGTGAAAATCTTCAGTGGGATAACAGGGCTCCGGTCTGCCTTAAACCACCTTTCTCCGAACTCGCAAACACAGACACACCCAGTTTATGAGCAGACCAGCTCACTCACACGCGTGTACAGGTCAAGTATCAGTAAAACATCATATTTCGCTCAAGGATCAATCATGTGATGTAATTTTCCAGAGCTGCTATGAGAAATGAAACGTCACATGCGAGAACTATGTTTCCTGATGAAGTTGTCGAGGTAGGATGGTGGGTAACTTGAAGGTTCTCAAATCAAAAGGCAGAGAAGCAGGTTAGGTGGACAGTCTTATCTTGAGGCCGAGAGTTTATATGCATCACTGCAAGCGGTTGCAACAAGCATCCTCACTAGGCAGGTATCGGCCGAATTGCATGCACCCGAACTTCGTCCGGCTGCAGCCAATCAACGAAGTGGGAAACATCGACCGGCTTGACGGCATCGCAAGCTGGAGGTTAGGACACGCCTTATAGGCGGACCGAATGCGACGCGGTTGAGAGGTGGCACCTACGACCGTGGGGAGCGGGCAGCCAGAAAGTCAATCACATTTCCGGACGGCGGACTTCAGGTAGGTGAAGGTTGTATGAGAGGGGCAGAGGGGATGAAGCAAGTTCAACTCGGAGGAAGCAACTGTGAACAACCAAACGCGCTCTGAAGTTATCACGACGCACCAGTAACCGTGGCTGAGACGGTTGACGATTGGCGAAATAACCCGGTTAGACTCAGGGGTGAAGACCAGACTGCAACGGCTTCTTCTTGACTTAACCGACATGCTTTCTTATTCGTGGGATCCCATATGAGGTTGCGTGTGGCACGCGTAGACGTGCCGGGGTGCAGTGAGTTGACAAGGGACAGGAGGACAGAGGTAGTAGGACAGTCTTTACTGTGGCCAAAGATTATAATGACCCGGAGTTTTCTTGTAGCAAGAATTCAACCAAGCTGAGGATCAGTTGTTGGTGTTGTTTGTGTCAGAGTCAGGTGTGACCGTGTGCGGGAGTTGCGTTCAACTGTGGTGAGTTAGCGAAGAGCAAAATATCGATCGAAGTCAGGGATTCGGCAATCCCAAGCAGACGCAGTCAACTGACTGGGGGAAGGGGGGTTCGGTCGATGTTGCCACACCGAGTGGACCACCACAAACGTACAGTTAAGCCAACGAGGCCACCTTGGGCAACCATGGCTTCGCAGTACCATCGGGACATGGTGGGTTTGTGAGGAAGGAGTAATGTGAACGCATCGCCAGTCCTTGCTATTAACAGCGGGTAACATTACAGCAATTTCCTGAGGCACCAACAGAACTTACGACTCGCAATGATCGTACCATCACTAGATGGTCGACGCTTTGTGGGGCTTTACAGCTTGGCAGCTATAGTCTTTAATAACGTTCCTCAGCACCACATTTATTTCCTCCAACCATGGAGGAAGCTGTGCTGTCTAGGCCCGCCTACAATGTTTGGAGGGAATTCGCAAGGTCCACAGGCTGCTCAGTATTTGATCTAATCAATACGGAATTAGCTTACCTTGTGCTAGGATAAGGAGTTTGAATCTATTTGTTCTTTCTTATGGCATTTTTCAGGACATGGCAATCGAGTCTATCGAGCTGCCTCTACAAAGTAAATACGAAGAAACGGAGAATCGTCTTGGACACGCCCAAATCCTTCAGCTCCTAAAGTTCTGTTTCAAGTCATACTTCACGTTCGACGGAACAATCTACGAACAGGTGAAAGCACACCAATGGGTTCGCCCATTTCGGGATTCCTCGCCGAGGCGATCCTGCAACGGTTAGAGTCGTTGGTCTTCCAACACCACAGATCGAAGTTCTGGGACTGGTATGTGGATGATACCTTCGTTGTTATCGACCGGGATCAACTGCTGACATTCAAGGAACGTCTCAAAGCAGTTTCCCCAGACCTATAGGTTACGATGAGGAAACAAAACCGTCTGACCTCTCTGGATGCTCTCGTGTGCCGCAGAGATTATGGTGGCCTAAAGATCAGTGTTCAGGAGAGCAACAAATAAAACGCGAGCACCGAACTTCAACAGCAACCACCCAATCAGCGACAAACGTAGTTGTGTAAGGACGCTCTATCGGCGTGTCGAAACGCACTGTAGTGAGCCGGAAGACAGCCTTGCCGAACTACAATACCGGCGACGGGTGTTCAATCCCAATGGCTACCCACGCAACTTCGTCGACCGGTGCATGCGCAAAAGGGACTAAAGGCCAAACTACACGGACCTCGGATTTTGGCGAGCCCATCCGTACGTCGAGAACGTTTCAGAAGCTGTCCGCAGCCTTCTCGCACCACTTGGAGTTGGAGTTGCACACAGACCGGGGGCAACTATCAGGCGTCAGGTAATGAAACCCAAAGACCCGCTGCCATGGCAAGAAACTTCTGGAGTCGTTTATCGGATCTGGTTCAGTTGCGGACAGAGCAACTGCGTCAGAGAAACCTGAAGACACGCGGCAGCAGTGCGGAGACATGACGCCAGCTCTCAAGTTGCGGCTCATTCGACGGAATCCGGCCACACATTCGAATTCGACGAGGCCGAAATTCTCGCAAGAGCTGACAACCGCGTGAGCTGCTTAAGTCATGGTTTACTGACTCTCAGTCCAGTAACAAGTGCAATGATTTGCCCCTTCCATGCTCGGTGATGAGACTTCGCCTGGGCGGAGTAATTAGCCACGCGGGAGCGCACAGGCGGATACTGTTTTCACCGCCAGGGTCGGTGGGTCGGATGGTCGAGCAATCATCACACCTACATCCAACGCAAGTGATGAAATTGCAGCAATTAACGACGCGAATGTCGGCCATCAAACAGCGTGGGCTAAGTGCAACAATCCCTGATGAGGGGGAGGGGGAAGTCGTGAATTTTCATGGCGGCTGCACCCCACAAATACTGCAGCTCCTTGTGCATGAACTACCCGTATCTGCTATTGTCACTAATGCTAGTTTCAAGCAGGAATTCGGAGCGTCATGCTAAAAAAGCTCTTGTCCCAGCGATCGTGTCTCGGTTTTCAAGCGCTCTCTTCCCACGTGCTGACCAACCACACTGCCGTCGCACAAACCAGACACCAAAAGCATAGAAGAAATCGACGATGGGAAAAGGACGGCCAAGTCGGGAATCCCGAACTCTCAGTGGCACTCTTCCCTCAGCACAATGTAAAACAGACCCGACCGTTCAAAACTTCAGCTAGTTAGTAAACCGATCGAATCCCCACCTTGAAACGCTTAATCCCGGTTGCTCAAGTACCATCGGCCCCAATGAGTAAGATAAGGCCTTCAGAGAGTCAGAGCGTCTAATCAGTTGCTGCTGTTGCCTACATTTGAGCATAATGCGGGTGGTGTGAACACCCAGACGCATTACCAACTGACAGGCAAACTATAAACCCCGAGAGCCCGATCGTGCTCTAGAAGCAGCTCAACCGAGGTTACGAGGGAAAATGAAGGCCGGAACAATTTAATTCTTTTCCCAGAAAGGACTAGTGTGGGTAAAACTGCCTTTCTCACAAGGGAGCTACTCACTCACAGAGAGTAATATAAACACAGTGACAGAACGTGAGTAAGGGTAGGAAACCCAACAAGTAGAGAACAAGAAATCGAAATGTAAGTGGCTTGCAGAGGAGGGTTATTAAAAAGAAGATAGGAATGTTCGCCGAAAAATATAGCCGTTGGTAGTTCTCGACTCCGGCTACCTCGAGCGCAACCATCGGCAGGCATTTTTAAAAGATCCTAGGCATAATTTTGGGTTGATAGGCACACTTACACGAGTTTGGGCACGAACAAGCAGGTTATATTATTCTTGATTTGTCTGCAGTCATGGTAATCATGGTGATGTGAAGATGGGATGGAGCGGGAAAAAGGACCAGCTTCCGAGAGGGGAAAAGAACAAAACAGGGGCAGTAATCAAAGCGGGACAAAATTTACGAAAAGCATGCGCCGAGGAAACACCCAAAACAACTACAAGGTCTATGCCGGGAGGAGATATGTGCATGAATAAGTGTGTCCGTGCGGATCCAAGGAAAAAAAACGAAAATCACAGGAGGGAGACGGGTGAACACGGACAACACACATCCAACGAACAGACGACTGTGTAGGAAGACGAAACTGCGAGCTATCGACCGTAAGGCAACTTGGTCATAGGCAGGAAGTTTTGCGTACGCACGCAATCGAAAAAACACAATGTGTAAAGGGTGAAGAGGACTCGGGTCAGAGGCACACTAAAGTCTTCGTGGAGTGGATAGAGGGGTGCGCCGAGCCGGTGAGAGCGGTTGGAACCCACCAGTTCACCTCAGAGATGGGGACCTAGGAGGAGACGGAAATAGAAAGTCAGTTATTACGGGGTGTGTGTATCACAACTAGACAAAAGAAGACAACATGTTAAGCAAGGACGGGAGTGAGTCTTGCACGCAAAACGCTATCGCTGGGTAGCCGCACAACTTACGGTGAAATGCGGTTAGGAAATGCGAGCAAGCACAGGAGCAGGAAGTTAGGCTCCCTGAGGAGAGAGGTGAGGTTTCAGACTCAGAAGTCTTTAAAACCTCTCCTCAGCGACCTTAAGGTGAAGACATGATAATCACAATAAGGTGAAAAAGCCAGAGGAAGAAGTAATTAGAGATGAGCTGTGGCTAGCGTACACACACACACACTCTGACTACAAGTTCTTCCGCTGGTCTGGAATCGAAGAGGGCGGTGCAGTCGACAAGGAGGGGATTGAGCAGGCAAGTTCAGAGGCCACCTCGTCAGAATGCAGCAGTGCCAGACTGAGGGGATCAATGGAGCTGCTCGTAACCAACGATGAACTGTAATCCTCCATGCCGAAAGCCACCTCGTCCAGACTGAGATCCCGTTGACCCTCGAGCAGTTGGCGTTCCTCTGTGGCGATCAGGTTGCTGGTGCTGCTGCTGGCAGAAGCCGCCTCCTCCAGGCGCAGGAACTCATTAAGCGAAGAGGACTTACTGGAGACTGAGCCAACAGGCAGGGCTGACTGCTGCGATGGAAGTGGGGAAGGGAGCAGAGGGATTTGGATGCTTTGGAGGCCCGGAGGCAGGGGTGGGATAGCAGCAGGGCCAGAAGCTGCCGGACTACACCCACTGGAGACAATGTCGTCAGCTCGAGTGGCTGAGGGATAAGCGCTAGTGCTGGAACCCGAATGCACGGTTGCCGCGGTCTCTGGATCCGCAAATGAGGAGTGAACGGAGAATTCGGAGACCTCAGTGATGGGTGTGAGGGCCAGAGTGAGGGGAATGCGGAAGTTGGGTTGCTCATCGGAGTAAATAGGCTGCCCAAATTCCATCCTCGCTTCTTCCATCTCACTTGATTGGATACCGTCGTACTCCTCAAAACCGCGCCCACTGCCAGCGGCAGTCGCTAGTGGATTCATAACGAAAGTGGATTCTTCGTGGACGTCCGTCGTGGTGGTATCGACAACTGTTTCCTCATCAGCGTCCGACATAAACAGAAGAGAATCGCGCGGTGATAGCAGTTCGTTCTTCTCTGTTCGTGTATGAGTGAAGCACGGTGATCAAGTTATTGTTAGCAAACACAGTCAGGGTGGGATTGGGAGGGAGAGGGCGATTAGGATCAGAGTGAGGACACCAGAACGTACGGCGTGGGCAATTCGCAGGAGCAAGGCGGGGAGAGGCAGCATAAAGGTTCAGGGGTATTATTAGACAAATGGCATGAATAACATCTGTCTACAGATGAGTTTGCGATGCAGAATAGAGAGCAAAGACAACTGCTCGCGGCTGTCAGCATCTAACAGAAGGAAAGCACTTCAAGATCCCAGTAAGGCTAACAAGTACAGTCAAGTCTACGACTAGTCTGCTCTAGGAGTCTCAATTTTCAAACTCCAACAAGGTTGTGGATACGCAGGTGGGTTTTTTTCCACTTGACATTGCCTCCAGCCCGAACACTGCTCAACATGGGACGAGGAGAGTGAAATGAAGGAATGCGAGTATTATAAATATCAGGCCGTCGTGGGGTTAGGGGCGACGATCGGAAATTACAAACAGTGAACCCATTGTGACTGCCGGGTAGCGACGTATGGCTCCTCAGTACAGGTAGAAAGATGCGTCAAGTCAATCGCTCGTGTCTATAAAACGCTCTTCATCGCCTGCGCAGAAAGTAACGAACCAGTGGCCGTGATCTGCAACCATGGTCTCACACGGAAAAGACTGGCCGGAAGCGTTTGCGGTGCCGATCATCGTGCAACACAAGCCCAAGTGGACTTATCCAGGGCAGCACAGGGCCGCCTATGCAAATCACATCCCATGAAAAGTGGCTGCTGAAGTGGTGTGTACTTTTCCGCCGGGTCGAAGACGTCTGAAAAATCCGCCCATATTACCCCTGAAACAAGAAAATTGCTTGCACTTCTTATGTTCGCGGGCAGAAAAGTACGTCTGCTTTACAGTCGGTGCTGGAACGAAACGTGCACATCGTCCTTCAGCAAATGCGAGACCTTTGGGACACCGGGAGAACCGTTTTTATGTCGTCTACTACCCGCATGATTTAATAGCGCTGACTCTGACGCATACAGTCCGAACTGCACGGTGTGGAATGCCGTGGGACGCGAAGGAGCCCTTTAATTGGGACATTGAGAGATATGCGAATGCACACAGTCAGATCATGCGAAATTCAGGCTGCTTTTCAAAATACACAGAAACTAGCAAACCTTTTACAGACCGAAGAAAATCATCCTTCAGCAGCAAACTTAAAAAGAGCGTCACTTTTTGCAAAGTTTTAGAAATGAAAATCTGCGAACAGTTTATCGAGGAAAATAGACTAGTGAGAGGGAGGGAGGGAGAAATCTAAGGTGCATGGTCAGAGGTCGGCGTGCCACCCTGTCGGGGCAGACTTAAAATGACAGTGTCAAAGGAATCAGTCCTATAAAGGCATTTAAGCATCAGTTTTCTACCTGAAAGTACATTTACAAATCCCAGCCAATAGCTTTAGAGAACATGGTTAGTGGCTTTCCCGCATCCCATTCCTCCCCTCAGTTCCCAACATACTCATGAGTAAGAGAAAGACAGCTAAAGAAAAGGGCGGAGGGGAAAGATGCGAAAACTACAAAACCAAACTATCTTCTCGCGCGAGAAGCGTATGGCAAAAAAGCGGGTAGAACCGAACAAATGGCCGCGCAAAATGAGCACACACACAGCAAAGTTCGACTAGGTAGAGCAGTCAGGCCAATCGCCGCCCTAGGGGATGGACGCAGTGATGAGGTGTGCCCCTAAATGTTAACAAGAAAGAAGGCTTGCGCAGCATGTATCACACCGACGGCAAGACAAGGGGTCAATACTGAGCTGAAGACGCTCAGATTTTTTCGTACAAAGTACTCGATTAATTTGTCGTTCTCTGACACACCAACTCCTTTTTGGCGACCTACACCTGTAGACTGTTTGCTTCCGCTAACTTGGATTGCTAGTTTTTGTGTCATGTCTGTTCTCAGTGGACGGTAGGGTGTGCTAAGCAAACAGGAGATGCTGCAAATTCAGTCATAAGTCTACATTATTGAAACCTTCTTCTGCTCACACATGCCTGCTTAGTTAACTTTGCGTCGATTTGGAGATGAAAAGGACTGGAACTTGGTCCTCCTGAAAGGCAGCCACTGATCCTCATCCACATTCTCACGAATGACTAGTGGAGATGTACTTTATGAATTGGTGCTCCGCTTGATCAGTCAAAACGTTTGTCGACTTTATTTTGTTCAGCAGGAGAAGTTGACCGCTCATCTTACCCACACCTCATCGCTACTCTCTACGTCTTCAGCGTAATATTGACCCCTTGTCTTGCCGTCGGTGTGGTACATGCTGCACAAACCTGCTGTTAAATAAACCTGTTCCGGAGAGTCTATTTTCTTCTTCAAATAATCTTCCCGCATCTCTCAACTTTGTCAATCTAAACCTACTTTCCTCTAAACATCTAGGCACAACTCAACACTGCGTTCATCCCATAGGGCGTTGATTGCCGGAAAAATGAGCCCACACACACACACACACAGCAAAGTTCGAGTCGGTAGAACAATCAGGTCAATCGCCGTCCTATGGGATGGACGCAGTGTTGAGATGAAGTATATCTCCACTAGTCATTCGTGAGAATGTGGATGAGGGTCAGCGGCTGCCTTTCAGGAGGACCAAGTTCCAGTCTTTTTCATCTCCAAATCGACGCAAAATTAACTTTGCAGGGATGTGTGAGCAGAAGGAGGTTTAAATAGTATAGACTTATGACTGGATTTGCAGCATTTTCTGCTTGCTTAGCACACCCTATTGTCCACTGAGAACAGAAATGACGCAAAAACTGGCAATCCAAGTTAGCGGAAGCAAACAGTATACAGGTGCAGGTAGCCAAAAGGGAGTCGATGTGCCAGAGAACGACAAAAAGCCTGAAAGTCTTCAGTGCAAAACTATCGACGCTGCAGACACGCTACTAGCCAATCGTGCGGATAGAATACGCATCGATTACTACATCAAAATTAGCGTCATCAATCTACTCAGAGCCAAAAGAGGCATTTTGAAGCTTCATGATCAAAGTACATAGGGCGGTGCGACTAACGTCAACGCCGCACAATAAAAAATGTCCTTAATGTTGCAGGCTTCACCATACTGAGAGCACATGCACTGCCGATAAAAGCCCAAACACGTGCTTCGCCGATTTTCAGTCGCTGCATCCTTCGGGGCAGATCTTTTTAGGCTCGACCCGAAATCGGATACGAATAAGTGCGCTGAAATATATCAGTTTCGATGGAATAACGCAAGATTCCGACAGGCAGTCAGTGGTCTCAGAGTACTGCGTGATTCACCAAAGTGACTGCTCCATGTTAGCGCATTAACTTATGGTGCCGGAACAGAGGTCAAAACTCGAGAGATGGGTGCATACTGGCAGAAAGTATACGCGACCGCTGGAGGGGCCCACTGGTGGGCTGAACTCCTCGTAGTTGCGCCATGCAGGGGCAGGGAATTGGTATTTTAGCCAGTACCTGTGTGGCCAGCATGATACTGTCTGTTGCGAGTGAGTACTACGCGGTTATCGCACCGAAACTGATGGAACTCAGCTTGAATAATTACATGAACATCCAGATCAGGCCTAAGGTTTATCCCGAGGGAATTTCCTCCAAGTACGCGGATTAACTTTTGGGGAAATTAAAAGGCTGCAGTGTCTTTGTCACTCCCAATAATGCATTTGCTACGTGATTAAAACTCCATATAAGGAGAGCATGCGCTGCGAGAGCACATTGAAATGTCACTAATGGGGGTTGTCAGTTACGGCAAGATAGGGGTGGAGGGAGGGATGGTGTGAACTGGTACCCCCTAAACACACACAACCAAAAAACAAGATGGTGAGCTTTAAATGGAGCGCTCTTACTCTACACACGCTGGCCGCGGAGGAAATGGGTTGGCAGTCAAACAAATGGGCACACAGAGACAGCCAAGCAGAACTCGGCGAGACATGAACCACACACAGGCACACACATATATAAATATATATATGCCGTAAGTAGTGGTGCTGATGACAACGGCGGTGGCGGGTATGATGCTAAGAGCAAATCCGGCAGGCCCAATGCAACCAATTAACGGAGCGGGTGTATGCATAAGAGGCGGTAAGCGGAAGGCGTGCGCAACAACAGCGGTGCCGGCTCATTCCCGGATATTACGATCCGTCGCCAACCAACCCAGATTCTTGATCAGGTCGTCAACCTCGCGGGGGTGCGAGCCATCCCACAGTGGGATAACGCCAAGGTCTGTCACCGGAGCTGCATCGAAGGGCAGTGGCGGTGATCCTGACGGTTGGTTCGGCCCGCCGTAGTTCACCTGCATGTCATCGCGAGAGCAGCGTCCGGCCACCAGCGAAGTGGTGCGCCTGGGCGGCTCCGGTGGTAATTCGTCCTCCTCAGTATCTTGCGCATCTCGTACTCGTGGACCGGCACCTCGGGCAGAACGCGACCGACACAATCGAAAGTGTCCATCCAAGAGGGCCTGTTTGCGTAACTGGGCTGTGATTTTGCAGGTCCCAGGGCCAACCAACTGTTGCGGGTGAGGGGCGCCAACGGACGGAGCCGCTGCACCTCGAGTGAGAGGAATGGGCACGACAAAATCGGCCTTCTCGCGCACCAATGGGGCAGGACCGTCATCAAAACCCTGACGGACCAGAACAAACTCCCCCGAAATGAGTGGCCCGCCAGAGGAGGCAGTGGAAATGTAAGAGGCTGCCTGCGCGGCACGTGAATCCACCGTACGGTCTTGTTGAGTCTTCAGATCGGCTCTGTATGTGGTTGTGGCTGAGGTTGAACATGAGACATTAAACTCCCCCGGGAGCGGTGCAGACGGAGGAAACACGTCATCAAGCTCCAACCCGCCGATTGGTTGGTTATAGGGGAAGGCACCAGTCGGGCGGGTGAGAGATAGATGACATTCCTGTGTATTGGCTGGTGAACGATGACGAGTGCAGGAGGTGGGC